ACCCAAAAATGTGGCTTTCCTGTCTCTGCCCTCTTTCATTGGCTTCAGCCACTCAGTCTTACCAGAGCATCCTTACCATATCAGGATCTTCACAAACCCATTGACTGCTGCCATTTGCTTTCAAAACCTGGGGAGGAGGAGTTGGACTCTACTGGCCTTTTTATCTTTTGGTGTAGTATTAGAACACTTGGTTTATCTTGGAGGTGGGAAACTCAGGATTCGCTTCTGTGTTTGAGGCCCTTGAAACCACATCTTCTACCTCTCATGAGAGAGCTCTAACCACCAGGCTTAGGTTCATCTGGCTTGGGGCTGCTTTCCACCCACCCTGTTGAAAGCTGTGATACTAAGCAGGAAATAATTCAATAATCCTAGGCCCAAAGAGAACATAAAACTTTAGCCCTGTTGTTAGGGTATGCAACTGGGGAAGGGGAGACCAATGTTTCAGTCCCTTTTCCAGGGTGTTTGTGGGTTTTTTTTTTAATATGAAATAGTCATAAAATATATGATCCTTATAACAGGGACTGAAATCTTAGACTCCTCCCTGAAGAATGGCCTGAACCAATAGGTTAAAGTCATGCTCCTATACTTGCTCTGACTCCCTGACTCATACTTTTTATATGCAGTGGAATCATTTCAACATGAAGTATCGAATTCCCCTACTTTAGAGTGATGTATATTTTTGTGAGGAGCACTCCTCCGTGAGGTGCAAAAAAAGTTTGGATTTCCTCAGGGGGAGGAGATGAGCCTAGGTTTTCAACATCCTATCTGAGTGCCCTCATCAGTCACCTTTTGCATGTAAGGTTGGCAGTGCCACTAGCCTACTCTTTCTTCTGGTGACTGTTTTAAAAGGAAGGAATGGCACCCACTCCATTTTGGAGGGTGGATGGGGAGAGAATGGCATAAACTTTTAAGAAAGAGTAGCAGATTGTGAAAGGCAAGCAGGGGGCAAGCACCTTCCAATAGCACCTAAATTAGGGAGGGGCAGGAATAAGATGTACTTCTGCCTTCAGCATTTTCTTACCGACTAGCTTGGGCAGCTGTCTTTTGGATCCCATTCAGAGTCACCTATCTTAAATATGGGGAGAATCCTGACCACCTAACTCTGATACTAGGATTCCACTCTGGAGACTGGCATCCTCTGCCCATTTTGAAAATGAAACCTGGGCTTCTCATTTCGTTTGTTTTCAACGTTTTACAGCTTCTCTGAAGTCCCTAGGATTTTGCTGGTGCTGTATTTCTGTCAGTAGTATTACTATTACACTTATAATGAATTGGTTTGTCATGTTAGTAGTTGATCAAGAATTGTGTGCACCTTCAACTATTTGGGACTATTTTGATCATGAATATACGTATGTGTGTGTGTTTTAAAAATGGTTGAAGTAATGAACATGGTTCACTAAACTTTTTTCTTAACCTTTATTTAGTTGATATTAATCCAATTATGGACAACACGGATGATGCACAGCAGAAGAAGCTAGCAAAAGCAACAGTGTTGTTAAAACTTCAACAAAACTTGGGTATGTCACCTCTAGAAATCCTGTGAGATTAGGAAAATATTTTGCTTTTTCAGTATCATTTACTCCCACAATATCAGTAGTAACCACCTCGTAGGGAAGTAGCAAAAGAAAAATAATTTAGGATTTAAAACATAGGATTAGCAAATGGTGAAATAGATTTAGACTTATTCTTTGAGCTTAAATCGAATACCAGTCTGCTTGCAAAGAATGTTAGGGACTTTTGCCTTGTTTGTCTTGCTCATTAAGGCTTGATCCTACAAAATACTGACCCCACTGTTACTGATATAATAAATGACTTAAGCACATGCTTAACATTTAAACACCTGGTCCTGCTGACTGGAGTAGGAGCACTCGAATATTTAGCTTGTGTTTGAGGGCCAGCATACTCAGTACTGTATATGATTAAGTCCCAAGTGTGCAGCACAACAAAGAGGTTTTAATGATGAGCACAACAGCATAACAGTGGTAATTTTAAGTAGAACCTTTTTAATTTAATAGCCTTTAAAAATGTTTTCTCAGTTGCGAGTAACAGGTGCTTGGTGGTTCTGAAAAACAGTAGCCAGCAAACAGACAGGAGGACAAATCATCCTCAAAACAAATGATATAAGTAATCCTCTCTTCTTTTCTGGGAAGCCCCAGGTTTTTCCTGCTCTTTTCTAAGTTAAAGGCAGTTAGGAGGCTTGAGTCAAGGTGTTGAATAAGTGTATAAATTTAGAGTAAAAGGTGCATTAGCACCTGCTGCTAGCCAAATTGACATGTTACACTGCCAATGAATTCCAGCTTGTCTAGGTTACGTAGCAGCAGTAAAAAAAATCTGATGAAGAAAAGACCTTGTATGTGTAGGAGTATGTAACACTGACAGTCCTGGGGCAAACTTAGTAAAATGTTCTCTCTCCTAGAATCTTTATAGAAATCTTCTCTTTTAACTAAGACTTTTAGGGTCAACCCTGAGTTACACTCCTTATTTGAGTAATCAACTGAACAACTCTTACAGCAACTTTAAATCAACTTAAATATTAAATTTGTTTTATTTCTCATAATACATAGGTTTACTTTAACTGAAGAAGTAAAACAGCTATATTTTGGTTTTGTTTATAAATTTTTATTTGCGACAGCACTTCATTTTAATCGGTAGGAAGATGAGATCTCCAGGGTGATTTTTAAGTTCTACTACATCTGCTCCAAGTCCCTTTTGTATTAGAAAGATTTAGTTCATTTCTTGGAATTTAGGTTTATGTTTGTGCTGCTCCTTTACATGACATCATTTAATCTGAATTAGTTCCCTAATGTCAAGATAATAGTGTAGGTTTGGTGCATTAGGTTTTATGGGCCAGTACACCAAATAGGAGTTAATAAAAACACAGTCAATTGGATCTCTGAAAGACTTATTTCTTTATAAGTCGGTTGTATAATTGAATTCATGTTGCTATACAATATAGGCTGATATTTAAGCATTTTAGTGCTTGCCCAGCATTGCTTTCTCAGAAGAGCTGTTTTCACTGTTGTTTATTGTTCTCTCATTTTACTTTATTCCCACCCTATCTTCTGGTGACTTGTACTGTTGTCTTCACACACTGAAAATGTGTTTTCTTTATCATTTTAGGTGTGGTAATGGGGACTGTAATCGCAGTCATTGCAGTTGCCTTCTCTTTTAGCTACTTCAGTGACTAGACTCCAAGCAAAAGCAGAAGTCTGATCCTCATGGGAAAAAATTGACCAGTATTCATATCTATACAAAATAGAAACCTGTAGATTAAATATCAGTAATGTAATATGTTACCTAAAAATTACAAGTAACGTGTGTTGTAAATAGTAGTGATGCATGCAGCTGTCTTGTTTTAACATGCAAAATAGTGAAGGTGGGTCCAATTTCAAGGAAGTTAGAGCTCTGTATTGTTGATGGGGAAATTACCTATAAAATAGCTTCTTATCCAGAAAGAATGATCTTTTTAAAAGTAAATTTCCTTTTTTCTGAGTAGCTTCTATTAAAGATTATATATTAAGAGACTTTATCAAGGCTGGTAAAGATTAACATTTGCCTTATTTGAGGAACCTCATTTGGCAGGTCCTGGATTTGACACTAATATGTTAAATTGCTATTAGATTAAAAGGAGAGAAATCCTGGCCACCTCAGGTCAGAAAGATTGACTTGAATGGGCCAAGGGTTTGCTGAATATATATTCCCTGACTGTGGCTATGCAACTCATTGTTTAGCACACCTTGCAAATACACATGTAGAGTAATAGCCTTAAGATCCTGCTTTTAGATTAATCCAAACTGTACAGATTTCTTATTCAAGATGTATAGAGTCTAGAAAATAATAAAGCAGTTAAGTCTCTAAGCTGCATGCAGAAATACGTATGCATTCCTATTCATGTCTCATAAAAAATTAACTTAACTTTCCTATTGAAATATTCAGCTAATGTCATTCTGATTTGCCAAAAACACAAGCACAAGGTATTAATTGGTTATATAACATGAACAGTTATTTAATACATTTTAGAAGCTGATCAGTAATTAATATCTTAAGTTATGAATAAGAGAGGTCAACCTACCTTGTTTGCATGGTGAGATGCTCTTTAGGCATGTGTGGTAGGCAGAATCATTGTTTTCCCACCCAAAAAAAGATTGAAACAGAATTAGTGGGAGAGGTTGAAATTCAAATTCATCAGAGTTTCCATGGAGGCTAATATTACAACAATATTTAACATTCATATTTTCAGCTTCATTTGGTTTTGAAATGCTAAGGTACTAGACCTTACAGGGGAAGAATAGGAAAGTTTTGGGCTTGCAACAGAATGGAACGTTAAACTTGGAATAAAGTGTAACTATAAAAAGCTAAGGCTCTTCTGAATTTTGCTTTCTGGAAGAAATAAGCCCAGGAACAGTTAATTTTCTTTACTTGGAAGTCTTCAGTTATTTCTCACTGTGGATCAAAAAAAGCTAAACTGAAACTTTTTAAAAAGCAAAATGAAGTTATGCAAGTACTTCCTTCACTAAATTCTAGTGCAGTGGCTCTCCACTGGGGAGCCTACAGAAGTTCTGCAGGGGTGCTGTGATGCATCGCAGAAGCAGCAGACATGTTAAACTGCCTTGCATACTCCTGCTCCTCCTGCATTAGGAACCTAAGCCTAAAGCAAGCAGGAGCTGCCTTATGCTATGTAGTCATTCCTGGTTCAGCCCCCCCCGCCCCCCCCCATGCCTGTCCTGGAAACAGAGGTGTGCAGAACAGTTCTACCTACACATGTCTGGTCCTGGGAGAACAGTAGGTAGGGCTGGACTGGGAAAGACTACACAGCACAAGGGAGCTCTAGGCTAATCAGAGTCCTAATGTAGCACATGTGCCACAGGCTTTCCCAGACTGGCTGTGTTGCAAGTGCGTGGGGTGCTTTTATCTGGAGGCAATAGAATCTGGTTGAGAATCACTGAGGCAAGTTAAAGCAATGCCAACTGTGGTTCACAACTAGGTCACCGTCACATGTGAAAAAAAATGTGGGAGATGTCCCGACTCTGAACAGGTTGAGAACCACTGTTCTAGTGAAACATCAAATCTATTAAAGAAGTTGTTTCTAATTCCACCAAGTCAGCAATTTAACATTTGCTGGTTAAAACCTTATTAAGCAACTATGGTATGCTCCTTTATGACCCTTATGAATATGGCCCTTTTCTGCTCAGTGCTTTGTTTGAATGGACCTACCTGAAGGCAGGAGGAGGAAACAAAGCCTTTAGGCAGGAGTGGAAGGTAATCTTGCAGCAAATTTATTTTGCAAATAAGTCCAGTTTCATGGGGTCCATAGGCAAAATAGCCTATGACAAATGGATCTTTATGACCCATGATGGAGATGAATTCCCTATCCTTCTTTCAGCTGCCTTTTATTTCAAAAACTGCTCCTTACAGTCTGCTCTCTTCTCCTAAGAGAATGGTGGAAAGGAAGGAGCAAATCAGTTTCTCGCTGATAAATAATGGTTGTATGATTTTTCTCCCCCTCCCTCCCCCCCCCCATGTGATTATTAAGAGGAGCTCAAATTTGGATTTGATTGTCAAAGAGTTCTCTTCTCTCTCAGTACTGCCTCAGGTTAGGAAACCAATTTGGAATCCTAACCCCCACAGTTTATAAAAGAAGGGAACGGTTGCCTGAACATTTATTCACATAAGCACCCTAACTATGGCCTTTGATTTTCCCTCCATCAGAAATAAGTCTGAGTTTTCCAAAGCCTAGGTTTTGTTAAGAGAAACACGAATATGTATAAATGCATACATGCACATGCATAAATCCACATATGTGGTACTAGGCTTACATGCATAGGCTTAGGAGGAAAAAAAACTGTTGTACATTTGCCTGTATGTACTTATTTAAACCTAATGTAAACTGCATTCCTTAAGTACACACTGCTGTCAGTGTGGAGGTATTAGCAGCCTCAAAACGGACTGTTTTGAAGGTTTGAAAATAAGCAGTGCTGATCAATTTTGGGGCTGCTAATACCACAACACTGACAATAGCGTGCCCATTTGTTTCCCCTGTATATTCTTGTGCTCCCTTTGTTAATGTTTTGCAAACTTTAAGCCTATGCCATTATTATCTTGCACGATTGTGAAATGTCAGGCAAAGTTTTTGGTGATTTAATGATTCAACACTCCAGTTCTAAAACTGGTGAAGTATAAGGCTAGAAAGATTTGCATAAATATAGCACTTCTTGAGAAGTCTAGAAGTGTAAAACTTGACCCTGGGTGGTATTTGAGCCTTTCTCATAAGGTTTATTTGGTGGATAAGTCTTCTTGATGCCAAGAACTTAGTGTATTGTGTAACAGTGATAGTCACTCTAATCTGACTGTTAGCTATAGACTAAAATTAGATCTTAAAATTAGACCTTTGCGGCTGGGTCACAGCATCCATGAGAACCGCTGGCTCCTACTGGGGGCGGGGGTAGCAATGGGTATGTATGTGTGTGTGTGGGACAGGTAATTTCTTACTCAATAAATCATAAAGATCTATTTGTTAAATAGGAAGGGTGCTGACCCTATTCTCTTGCTGTCAAATGACGGATTATTTTTAATTGTACACATGATGGATTTATGGAAGGCTAACTCATCGGTTTAAAGGGTTGGGAGCTGATGGTGAGGAAGTAAAGTAGCCTAGGATGAGACATTTGGTCTAACACAAAAATAATACAGTTTCTTTTCTGAGTAATGGGGAGGGAAAATTAATACTTTGCTTATTTACAAATGATTGAAGCAAATTAAATAAAGTATTACAGGTTTGACTGTCATTCTCAGAAGAACCAAATTCTATAGGAAACAGTGGGTGGCAAAAGTGGTAGGACCTGGCTTGCCTGTCTGTAGGTCAACTATAATTCTCCCTGTTGAAGAATTAAATGTGGTCTGAGAATTGTAATGGTACAGAAGAGGGATTTTCCAGTGTTCTTGCATTAGTTTCATAGTTGCCATTTTAGTTATGATGCAAGATCTAGTTATCTTAAGAAAATAGAGAAACAAGCCTTTAAAGGAGAGAGAGATCCCAGGGCTGAAAATCAAGAAAACAAAAAATATAAAAGCTGCTTATTCTTGATTCTGTCTGTTCAGGTCCTAAGACGTTTGCTGTCTAGTCTTTTGCTATTAAGCAAACCTTTTATAGCAGTTTTAATTGACATTTAAGGACCCCTTTCATTTAATTTAAGATGTTTTTTAGATCAGATTTACATATTTCTAACCACTTCTATTCATTGATATGCTTGCCTTTTCCAATTAGATTTTCCAGTGTAAGGCTTCAGTGAGAGCTTTTGGAATTTCAAGATTCTGAAAATCTGGCCAGTTATTTAAATTAATGTAAGTTTTGGAAGCCTGGATCCATGTATTCATTTAATTATCTTTGTCTTTTACATACCAAGTGGTTGGTTTGACACATTTTTGTTTAAATATAGAGCGTTTGAATAATTGAATATTTTATGAGGGACTAAACATTGTTGTGTGTTGTAAATTGGGGAATAACTGTTAAGTTCAGTGAAATTACATCCATGTAACCTCATAACTAGGGACCTACCTAAATTGAGGAGGCAGGCAGCTGATTTTGTAGGCAGATTGCAGGGCTGGCTGCCATTTTTTCACAGGCTTATCTCAGTGGGGCCCTCCCGTGCCTGTAGCCAAGGGGCCTCAGCAGCTCTAACTCTCGCCGCTGATTGACTGAGAGGGCTGTCTGTCATGAGGCCCCAGCCCTCACTGCTGATTGGAGAAAGGTGGGACCACATGACAGGCAGCCCTCTCAGCCAATCAGCAGCAAAGGGCAGAGACTTCCACCATCTTTGCTCCTCCCCTTTGTGTACACAGTGCCCCCCACGCCTTCCTAGGCTGCATGGCCACACCCCAGCAGGGGGAGCCAGCATTTTATTTTTAGTAAGTATTTAAATTTGGGGTTTTTTGCAGACAATATCCAATTTAATGATTTAGCAGAAATTGTGAATTGAGTACTTTCCTATGCATAGCATGGACACATGTTTACATTGGTATAATTTGCCTTTTACACTGCTGTGAAACTGGAGTGGTCACATGATACAGAGCCCTATACTAGTGTAAATCACTGAACCTATGATGTAAAGCTACCTTGTAAAAGAACCAAACAAAACTGGTTCATCTGTCATACGTCCACAAGCTAGTTGAATATTTAAGCCGGTTGCTGTGGAACCTAGTGGTAAGGTACTATAAGGTACTACAGTCTGCTACCAGTCATTTCTTTGGCTCTGAAGTTGGGTGGAACAAAGTTGTATAAATTATACTGATGTAAATGCATCCGAATTTACAGTAGAAGCTACATTGGACCTCAACGCTCTTGTGTGGCATTGGATCTATAACTTTTCACTGATGCTTGTAGGGTGGGATAGCATTATTTTACCACTGCAAAAAACATGAAAGTTGTACTAGTCATAAATTACTGGCTCCCTTTTTGCCAATGTGCCCATAGGCAAAAAACACATCTTTTATTTCTCCTTTACCAAAAACCCATGCAAATGGAAAGATTCTCTTTGAGTTTAATTGGACTGAGATGCAAGCCATGGAGAGCAGAAAGTTTGTTTTATGGATTCATTAAATCTTTAACTTTGTTGTTCAGGAATCTTGTGTAGAACTATTTACAGCGTTTTGAGTCAACTCCTTCCTCTTGTTTAGTCTTTCCTGCAAAGTTGTGTATGAATATCATGATCAAAGCTCTCATTTCTAACTTTGATTATTCACAAGCTACTTCTGTTGAGAGCTGGCGCCAAACGGATGTTTCATTTTAAAAATTATGGGTTATGAAATTCTTAGGGAACTCCTGCTTAAGCATGCTTCATCTGCCTATAAAGCTGGCATATGATTATTTCTTTCTAAATATACCGTGCATGCATGCGTGCGTGCACATGCGTGCGTGTGTGCACGCACCCTACAAGGAGGAGCTGAGAGCTGCTTCATCAGGAATAATAACTTTTCCCTACTTCACTCTTAAATTCTGCCTTCTCCACAGCAGAGTTGTCTATTTCCAGCTCTCTGCCCAAGGTGGTAATAATTCATCTTATGGTATAACAAGACTGCATTAGCTGATAATCATTGTAATAATTTACCTATTTGTCTACTCATTCGGGTTGTAGCTTACTTAACAAATGATATACTGATCAGAATGGACATGCATCAGATCAGCTGTAATTACTGATTAGGGATAGAAGCGCAACAGAGACAAATCTTTAAGAGGGGAAAGGGGCTGCTCCAGAGAAGCATGATGATAGCTGAATTATTCTGCTAGGCATTGCACTGAAGGATTTGATTAATGTAATATAACAGCATATCTACACTTAGGAATTTGATACCATAAGAATATAAGCACTTTTAGCTGTATGTTATTCAACTTGTAGGTGGAACCAAGATGTCAGTCATTATGTAACATGAAATACTTTTCAGTTAGGGCTTGGATTTATAAAGGAATGCAAGTTATTGGTTGGAAAGCTGGGAAGACCTCACTTGTTTTATATAATTTATTTTACATTGCTCTTGAGTGTTGCAAACTTACATAATTAGTTAATGCTTTCACTATTAAGTTTCCATGTTTTAAAATGAAGACTCTCTGATGGTTATGTTACTTTTTTCTAATTGTAAAGCAGAAGTCTATTAGTGCTTTGTGGTAACTATGAAGAACAGCAGAAACTTCTGAGTGAATAGAAATCTTTTCATCATGTAAATTCATTGGGAAGCATTTGCCACTTTCAACTGAGATAGAAAATGCTTAGATGTCTGCAAGTTAGGGCAAAAATATATATGGGAACAGTCACAAAGGAAAGCTTCATGCTGGAGGACTAAGGCCTCAACATGCAGAACTGTCACAGACACTAATAGGATTTCAGTCCATGAAATGTCTGAACAGAAAGCAAGATTTACTAGAGTAGTTGGATACAGTGAATAAAATGCAAAGCTGAAAAAACAGCATTAGTGATGAACAGTAAGTAGGTTGCTAAATAGTCTTAAAGTTTCAATAGCCCCAGATGTTCAGTAAAACAGGTACAAGTGTAGAATATATTTGATTTTTATTTGGTAATCGCACCTATCAGCGTCCAGGCTTGTCAAGGCATGAAACAAACCCCTGGAATGCTAGAAAAGATCAACATGTGGAACACCTACTTTATGTACTGGGCAGTTATTGACTTTCCTGGTTTTAACTATAGAACTTTTTTTTGCAGTGCTCCCTTAATGAGTGTGTCAGAAAAGGTCTTTCAAAGCTCTTGCTTTATGTGTTCCCTCATTTACAGTGTTAGGTCTCTGCAATTTTTCTTTTAAATAAAGTTTTAAATTTTCAGCTTGAACATTTTTCTGATGATTTTTTAGGTATTCTTTAAATGGGCTGTAAAGTTACATTTTATGAATGACTCCTGTTTCTTTTTTAACCTTTATTCATATTCATTACATAAACACAAAAATACTAGTTCAGTAATACGCAGATACTTTAAAGAAACAGCTTAAATGTTCACAATTTGGTAAAACATCACACCAGAAAGTAGCTGATAAAATCTGCATTAACAAAAGTTCAGTGGCTGTATTATTTTCTTAGAAGAGAACTTTTTTCAGCAATGTGCGGACTTCCCACTTTCACAATTATTAAAGATAAATATAGAACACTGTGTGCTGGATGCTTTTGACATACTGGAGAGAGGATCTGGTTCTGTTCCTACTAAAATCTGATACTATGCTCTCTGTCTTTAATGGGCAAAAATTGGGCCTTTAAACCATCTAATTTTGCTGTTACTATAGATTGCATAGAAACAAGTATATATAGAACTGACTGGTGTTTTTAACACAGTTCACGTGGGAAACAAATCTTACATAATAAGCGCACACAGCCTTCTCTAACTCAGGTGGATCCTGCTGCAGTCAATTGCAATACATTGAAGAGAAATGAAAGATAGTAAAAACTAGTTCCCTAATTCAGGGGTTTTCAAGCTTTTTAAATAAGTGTACCCCTTCTGACTTGGTTTCAACTCCTATACTCCCTTATATTTTTTTTCTTGTTTTTAACGGGTGGGGGGCAGATTGAGGCCCCCACAGTGAGGAAGGGAGTGGGGCTGGGGTAGGTGCTGCACAGCTGGGGCAGGGAGGGCACAGGATAGAGCCATGGGCAGCTCATCTGGGGGGCACAGGGGGAAGCGGCTGCTGCATGCCCCCCCAGAAGGGCATGGGAGGGCACATACTCTCGCATCTGTGCGCAGGGTGGGCTGGGGTTACAGCACTGCCGGGTTCTCCTGGCGGGGTTGTGCTGCGCTCATGGCAGGCAGTGGCAGCACTGGGAGTGGGGCTATGGGGGGCGCTGCAGCCACTCCAGAATTTGCCACAGCCCCCTAACCCCCCTCCCAGTGCTGCTGCCACCAGCCAGCCCAAGTGCAGTGTGGCCCAACCCCCTCCCCCTGGGAAGAGCCCAGCACAGCCCCGGCCCACAGTGGCAGCCTGTGCAGATCTAGGGGCACATACCCTCCCAGGGGTGTGCGTAGAGGCAGCGCTGGGAGGGAGGGGTGAATGGGAGGGCCTCGTACATGGTGGCCGCCACTGCCACCACCACTCACTGACCCACACTGCTGCCACTGTCATTACCACTCACTACCACTGCTAAACCCGCACCGCTTTTCACCACAGGCTGCTGATGGGCCTTGCACCTGGCCAATCACGCGCTACCCATCAGCAGCCCATGGAGCTGCATGTGTGACCGGCCGTGGGAAAGCGGCGCAGGCACAGTGGCAGCACAGAGCAGTGGGTGGTGACAACAGCAGCAGCCACTGCATGTGAGCCCCCCAGTCTGGCTGTCCACCCTGCGCCTATGCGGCCCACAGTGGGGGACCACTGCCCTCACCACCCCTGGCCCTGCTCCTGGGAGCAGGAATAGGAGTACACTCCCTCCCCCCACCCCGGCCATTCAAACCCTCGCTGCTGTCCAGGAAGGGGTGGAGGAAAGGAAGCTGAGGTGGTGGGGAGGTGCTGCTGTGTGGGGCCAGTGGCACCTGGCATGCTCCTCCCTCTCTCCTTGCCCCTCCCGTAGGTAAGAGGCAAGCTGTGGGAACACACTGGAGGAGATGCCACCGCCATGCCCCGTGGCACACTCCATCCCCACCTGCCTGCACGTACCCCCTACGGCCTTTCTAAGTATCCCTGGAGGTAGGCATACCCCCGGTTGACAACCCCTACCCTAATTATTCAATATCTTGTTCATCCATGTTGCCATTTTCAAGTGCTGGGAGTTCCCTTTCAGGAAGCAGCCCATACTCATTTAAGAAGGACTCCACATCCACAGCAAAAAAATCCTCACTGAAGTGTTCAGTAACACTAATAAAATTGCTCAAAAGCTCCCCACCCTTGTAGACAAGCAGTGTTGGGAGCACATCACTTGAGAAGCGGTCTCCAGCTCCCGTATTAGAAGCCCTTATGCTACAGAACCTCACTGATGCATATTCTGTTGCAAGGCAGCTTAAGCTGTTGTTCAGTGCCTCACAGCCCTTGATGTCATCTTCATAAATGTGAACAATAACTGTGGTGGTTTTTCGTTCCTTCTCAATGACTTCCAGGAATTCCTCTCCGTTTTGCAGTTCACACAGGTAACCGTATTTGGGCCCAAAGCTGAGCCTCTGATGCATATCCTGCATGCATCGTTTGCGATATTTTTGTAGGCAGCTTTCATCTTCTTTCTCTTCTTGCATTAGCTCATATTCCTGCATACTCATCTGTAAACATTGAGAGAGTAGCATATTACAGAGCGGTCCTTTATCTACTGAACCACAAAGGGGACAAGATATTAACCATGGATCTTTACATAAAAAGACACTTAGGTGGAAGAATAATAGCTGACAACTGCCATCTTGGAAAGACAGGAATGAAACTTTTGAATGGGATCCCTATTTTTTCCCCCTTGTGCAGACAAATAAATGGTAGTGAAGACCATCGACATACCTTTATAATAAGAATATGGTCAAATTGTGGCCTTACTAAAGTTAATGGGAATTTTGTCAGTAATGTCAATTAGGTCCAAGCTCTGCCCCATCTTTTTCTATTTGTTGGATGAAATCCCTAACCACTGTAACGCATATGGTCTCAGAGGCATATTGAAATGAAGGCGATCTGAGGCAGCTAGATACCATAAGAATCATCTCAACGTTCTTGGCAAAATCTGTCATTAGGGATCGAGTCCTCAACACTGGTCAATGGTTGATTTAAGCTCTCACCTTTAAGTGAGGTATCTGTGTATGATAGCTGCACAACTGCTTCCTGTAAAGAAGCCAATTGCTCGTAAAGGTATGCATTTGGGTAAGATGCTTCCATCCTTATTCTAGATAGTTACTTCCTTACTCTGTATGTAGTCTCATTTTCCTCTGTGGAACTACTTGCACGAAGATAAATACTATGCAGTTTAAGGGCAGCATAGTCTTTTCCTTTTTTTATTACTTCATATTACATTTACAATAGGTTACATTTCTATAACTGATGCTAATATGAACCACATATTCTAACGTTTGATGTACTTCCAAAACCTGAGCTAATTTTTACAGTACCATTTAGGTAATTTTTGGCCCAGCTTGATAAATTGGGGAAGGGAAGGAGAAGAGAGATTAAATTACTTTGTGCAAAATGTTAAAATTGAGACTGGTGCAAATTACAGTCAGGATTTTTTGGCTTACCTCCTTAATTGGTTTCTTGTTTTTAGAACAGCTAATTTGTTCAGGTTGTCCCTCCCCTCCTCTCGCTCTTACCTTACGGCTGAATCTGTCTCTGGTGTCTTTATCTTCTTTACTGGAAGACCTATGCGGTGAAGACAGTTGTCTGAGAATTTCCTTCTTGCTCAGAGCTGAAGGGTCTGTGTCTTCACTTTCTAATTTAAACTTTCTCCAGTCATTGATCACCCCTTTGGGCCCTAAGAAAGATATTTGATCTTATTTGATTTTATTTTTAATTTTCTAAAAAGCATGATGTTTTTAAATATAGAGCACATTTAAAGATTTTTACATGCACTGTAAAACAAGGAGTACTGTGGGGTTTTTAGCTTATATCTGTGTCTTTGAAATATAATTCAGGACATGTGCTGACATTTTTAACTGAAAGCAAGTCATACTCTAGCATTGGCTAATAAAACATTTTTTATTTTTTTTTTACAAACTCTTGAAAATTGTTCTCGTTCAAAATCTCACTGAAGTTTTTCAAAAGTGAAATCTCAGCCTTCTGGAAAAACCCCCTGAATAGATGAAAACATCTGAAATTTTCAGAAGGTCACTTGAATTTCAAGTCTCTTAAATACTTAAAACATGTCAAGCATGTCAATTCTGCCACTGAGATGCAAAATTTCCCATTGTTGGAAATGTTGCAACTCCCTGTAATAGTGATTTGATGAGGATTATCTTTATAATCTTTGAAAGTAAAAGCTCTAAATATGGGTTTTAAAGAGCCAGTGCTATAAAGAGAGGTACGTGTTACGCAACAAGGTGGGAAAAATCAAGGCTAAGAATTTCCTAAAAGAGGCCAAAATTGGGAGCTTGAACACCATATTCACTCAAATGCCATATCCACCTTTCCCCCCACAAAAAATCAGTCCTCTGAAATTGAAGCCTGTGTCTTAAGCAGGAAATCTGATTTCTGTGCTAGGATGAAAACATATAGGTACTGTAATAACTGCCTGGGACTCTGCTTCTTTCCCAGCCATGGAGGAAGGGCAGAATGCACCCTTCAGCATCAAAGCTGCAGGTTTAACCCTCTCAGTCAGAAGTTGCTGCCAATTTAGGACAGCTATGAGAGGGTTAAATCTTTATCTTTAATCTGAGCAGCAATGCTGAGCTGAGCAGTGATGCTGAAAATTGTCCAATCAGGACTCATCCACAACTCTGAAAAAAAATCTTTTTTCTTCATTTTGCCTTCCCTGAACAAGATGGACGTCTCTTTTTTTCCCCACAAGGTAGGGGGCCAGGGATCTGGTTATGGCATGTGAGAAAATACGGTAACTCTCCTGAATTCAAGAACCTTAAAGCAGGGGTGCTCAACCTCCAGCCTGTGGGGCTTCCTACGAGTGGGGAAATTTGGTGGCAGGGGAGCAGTGGTAATTAATACCACCACCCTGCCCCTTGCCAAATTCCCAAGGCATGCACAATGGGTTGGAGCCAGACCATGCCCCCTCCCCAGCATGGCCACATTGGGGCTAGGCCACACTCCTTTTTCCCTGTATGGCTGGATGAGGGCTGGGCTATGCCCTCCTCCTCTTGGATGAGGCCACTGTGCAGCTTAATTGGAGGTGGGCTGCCCGTGTTCCCCTCTGCATAGCCAGATTGGGCCTTGCTGTGCCTGCCCCAGGTGCTGGACCACTGGCTTATAAGTATCCTGAAATTATGAATATCTTCAGAGCTGCTGGGTACTCCACAGTTTAGAATTCAGGGCACTTATTTGGAAGTCTAATAATGAATCTAATATCTCTGTTTTAGTGCCTTTTTAAAAACCTCTAGCAATAGGTCCAGACTGTGGATTTAGAAAGGAATCCTCGGAAGATGCATTGCTACAATGGAGTAGACTAAGGCTGCCCAACTTCTAAGCAGCCAGAGGCTGCTCACCGTGTGGGCCTTCCATTCCCATGCAGGTTACATGGACTCCCTTGGTACACACCACAGAGCAACTCCCTCATTATGGCTCCCTTCCCATCCCTGGTATGTAGGCTTACCAGGCCATGCTGCCTAGATCCCAGAGGCAGGGACAGGAAGTAGAAGCTGGAGGGGAGAAGGGGAACCTGGAGCACCCAGCAGCAGTGGAGGAAATGGTGGTTGTGTGGGACTCACAGGCTGCTAGTTAATCACTCCCAATCCCCATGCATAGGATGACCATACATCCCGGTTTGGCTGGGACAGTCCTAGATTTTGGAGGCTGGTCCAGGCTGGCTGGTGAATATACAAATGAGTGACCTGGGTGTGGGGTGGGGAGGTGAAGCAGCATGAGCTGTGAAATAGAAAGTCCTAGCAGGCAGCTAAATTGCCTGAAAATAAATTAGCTTGATTAGTGGAATGGCCATTAAAAAGGGGAGATGATTGTTAACACCTGTGAAGTAAAGAACAATGGGTTATTAATGGGCCATTGACTCCCTGAGCTGCCTGAACATCAGAACTGCAAGAGGCCACCCTGCCCCTGCTTCTGCCTGCAGAAATGCTGCTGACTTGAGAGGTGTGTGGGCAGTGCCCCAGATTTCACATTGTCCCAGGTGGTCACCCTATGCATACAGTATGCAGGCTACAAGTAGGGCAGCCCTAGACTAGACTATTAGTAGGGCACAAGTAAAATATAAAGGGGCTTCAGTAGTGCAGAGATAATAGCTATTTAGAGCATCTATTTATTTGCTCTCCAGCAGGGAGTATGATTGGCCCTCTCTATATCTATTTTAAATGTTGAGCTAAACTGACCCAAAGCATGGTTTCCTTACCTGTATGCATAGCCTGCCCTTCAAAATCTTCTTCAAAACTGGCATTTGAGTTCTCCTCCATTACTGTGACTGCAGGTTCAACAAAGGAAATAATTAATAACATGACAGCTAAGTGGCTGATTTTACTGTTGGATATAGCACAAAATGTCATTTCCTGCTGCTGCTAGGTACCAGTGTAATCTGTTATTAAAGCTTATGCAATCATAATTATAGTTCTTCTGTTCACCTCATAAAAAGCAGTTAGGACAGTGATTAGTCTGTACTAGTAAAAGTGTCTGAATCAAGGCTTATTGCATGCACACAAACTTTTTTTTTCCCCACCCTAAGTATTATCTCTTCCAAGTCATCAAGCAACTTAAGCAATCTAGTGAAAAAAAAACCAGCTAGTAGAATCTTTAAGAATAATAATATTCGTGGCAAACTTCTCCCCGTGCCCTATATTTTTAAACATGTAATCCAAATTTTTACAAATTTATTTGTTCTTAAGTATTCACCAAATAGCTCATATGCAATACAGTCTTTATTCTGCATCATCAAAATTCATTAGAGATATCTAAGTCAAAACTTTACGCTCTTTGGGTGCATCCACATGAGCACGTATGTACGTCTTGCAGCATCTTAAAGCCCTTTGAGACGCTGCAAGATGCACGTGAAGGAATGAGAAAATGTTTCCCCTAAATGCAAAATTAGACCCCTGGATATCCAGGGGTCAAAAGAAACTGCAGTGGAAAAAAGCAAGGCAGGATACAGTCCGGGACCATGCCTTGAGGCAACTGGAGGCTCGGTCCTCCACAGAGACACTCTGGTAGCCTGCCACAGTGTCTCTGTGGTTGGCCCTTTCCTCAGTGCTGTAGCACCCTGCCTGCAGAGACCTGGATCTGGGCTCTGTGCCAGGTAAGTAGGGGGTGGGGGTAGCTGCAGGAGTGAGGGGGACTACTGAATGTGTGTGGAACCAAGGAGGGGCAGCTCAGGAGGGGTGGGTCCGCCAGTCCCCCCCCACAACATGGCTCCAGCCCTCCCCCCAACTTGCCCTGCAGCCGTGTGCAGCCCCCCACTCACCTTCCTGTTTGGCTGCAGTCTCCTTGCTCAGCTCCAGCCCCCCTGCTTGGCCCGTGGCCAGCTTGCTCACCCCCCACCCAGCTCCAGCCCCACCCATGTGCTCCCCACCTGTCTGAAGCTCCCCCCATGCGCTCCCTGCCTGGCTGCAGCCTCCTTGTTCACCCCCTGCCCAGCTCCAACCCCTACCCCCCCAGCTTACCAGCAACAGCAACCTCGCTCTTGGCCTTGTGGCACAGCACCTCTGCATGGCGGGGGGCAGCACAACTCAGCCCCAGCTGCCAGGTGTCCACTGGCAACTATGCCACAGCGTGCCGCTGCAGCCTGGCATGATATGGAGCCATGTGCTTTTGGGCAGCTCCAGGCTGTCATCCGGGGCTGCGTGCCACTCGTGGGGACTGCTGGCCACATCGGCTCAGGTCCTGTGTGCACAGGTGTGGCTCAGCTGGATGGCACAGGGCTCATGCATGCAGAACCTGGGCTGGTGTGGCCGGTGGTCTCCACAAGGGGTGCATAGCCTTAGATAACAGTCCAGAGCTCCCTGGAAGCACAGGGTCCCACGTTGCACTGGGCCACAGCAGCATGCTGTGGCAGAGGCTGCGTGGATACCTGGCAGCTACAACCAAGCCGGGCTGCCCCTTCCATGTAGCGGGGCTGTGCTATGAGGCCAAGAGCATGGCTGCTGTTCCTGGTAAGCTGCGGGGGGGGGGTGCATAGCCTTAGATAACAGTCCAGAGCTCCCTGGAAGCACAGGGTCCCACGTTGCACTGGGCCACAGCAGCATGCTGTGGCAGAGGCTGCGTGGATACCTGGCAGCTACAACCAAGCCGGGCTGCCCCTTCCATGTAGCGGGGCTGTGCTATGAGGCCAAGAGCATGGCTGCTGTTCCTGGTAAGCTGCGGGGGGGGTTGGGTTGGGGCTGTAGCTGAGCAGGGAGGCAAGCAGGGGCTGCACCTGGTTGTGAGGCAAGTCAGGGGGCTGGAGCCATCCAGGGGGTGGCCAGCAGGCCTACCCCTCCTGAGCTGCCCTTCTTGGCCCCCACACCTTCAGTAGTCCTCCCTGCTCTTCCAGCTCCCCCCACCCCCTACTTACCTGGCATAGCCCAGGTCCCAGTCGCTGTGACCCCTGTGGGGTGGCAGTCCATGAGGTGTGCAGGAGGGCTGCACCCTGCAGGGGACAGGGGACCCACACCTCCTGAGCAGCACCCCCTCATAGCCCCCTTCACACCCACACTCCCCCCACAATCCACCCACAAACCCCACACACCCAAAACACCCCCAGAAAACCCTCACCTACATTCCTGGCCCTGTGTGGCAGGAGTGAGGGGAATGGGGCAGAGGGTAAGTTGTGGGTTGAGAGTGAGGGTCAAGGGAAGGGGTAGAGCAGTGGCATATCACTGCTGCTCAATGCTGTACATCCTGGTGAGTGAAAGAGGTACAGGCAGCTCTGATTGTTCTGTGACTGACAGAGAAGCCCAAAGTCAATGCCAAACTGCATAGATAATTAGAATTTATTTGATGATGATGATGGAAGCACTGGTAAGCTTCCAAGTTGCTTTACAATTGTAAATATATCAATAAAACATTGCCGAACTGATCTGTCTGTCTGTCTGTCTCTTTCTGTGTGCATGTGTGTGTGTGGTGGTCTTTTGTTTTAATTGTGGAGGAACATGGATTTTGCAGTATTTTAAAGAGTGAATTTGGGATATTTTCCAGAAATGTTGCAGGCTTTAAATAGGGAACACCAGAATTCCTGCTAGGGAGTCAAGTGGCAAGACGCAGACAGAAGAGCCTGCGCAGGGCTGTCACCTGGGACCCAGCTGGAAGTGACTGACCTCCTGGCCACTTGGGGCCAGGAGGACATGCTTTGTCAGTTCAAAGCAGGCCACTACATGGGAACATCTTCTGGGTGATAGCTGTCCAGATGGCTGGGCAAGGGCACACATGGCTGTAGTGCTGCACAAAGGCAACTGTGCAGCCACAGCCCACTGGCAGCTGGCCCAGAGAGGCAGGAGCCTCTACTGGCTGTGCAGTCTCCACCCAGGTCTGGCAGGTGTGCGGCCTTGGGGCTACATGCTGTTGCAGGTGGCAGAAGGTCACAGCCAGGCAGCAGCCCCCACTGCCAGACTGCTGCAGTGGGTAGAGTGTGCAGGGAACTCTCACCACCCCTTGTGCTTCAGCAGTCCAGCTGGCACAAGGGGTGGTGTCCCTAGAAACCAATTGGCCGGTCCCCAGAAGCTCTTGAGAGCAAGTAGCCCTGAGCTAGTTGCCAGGGCAGCTTTTTATACTGCTGGGGCCAGCACAGGTGCTAGCCCTGGGCTCTAGCTTCCCCTGGCTGCAGATCTGGGAGAAGCCAGGCAGGGTTATTTTGCCCAAAGTGGCAGAATTTGCCCCACACCAAAGTGCATGTCCGGGCACATGCGCTGAGGCAAAAAGCCCCGGCTCAAATTTGCACTGCTTCTATTTGAGCTGCTGCAAGCGCACGTGTTTGTATGTGTGGACACACCCTTTGTGTTTATAGGCAAACCAGGTTTATAGGCAAACCTGGGCTAGATTCTCTAGCCTAGCTGATCCCCACTTGTAAAAATGGATTAGTGAGGAAAAGCAACTATCAACCACTTCCAAGGTCCCCTAGTTTGATGGCTGACTGAGCAGCAGGAAGGGAGGGTCTGTACTGTATATTAGAGAAGTCTCTTGGTCTAATCTGGCAAAAAGAAACCAGTGCTGCTCTTACCAGGTGCCTTTTCCTGTTAATGTCCCATGCATTAGAGCTTTTAGGATTCATGTGAGAGAACAATGTTGCCTCATTATTACAGACACAGTTCTGAAACAAGCTAAGCTGTCAGAGTTACAAAGCATTTGGATCAGATTGGAGCATTGACCCCAAACTGAACTAGTTTTGGCTTTCAGATGGGCATAATAACTTTCATTTCTTGTGAGTTAAAGTAATTTCCATAGGCAAGAAACTGAGAGAAATGAACATGCCTTTTAATCTAGTCTAATTTTACCTTTTGTTTTTGTTGCTGCTAAGATTGCACTGCACAGTCATCTTTAAATTATAGTGCTAGTTTTTTGCTAGTTAACGGCCAAAAGCTCATGGGGTTAAAAGCTGATGGAAGGTAAGATATGAATGTTTTTCATTTTGGACCAAGTTTGGTAGGAAATTCAACTTTAAATTTTTTCCTCCTTCAGTGTTTCCATAACAACTCTAAGTTTCTCATGATTGAGTAGTCAAATTAAATAGTTTTTGAGTAGGACATTAGTAGATAAGCTAATGCCTGTGCCTGTGTTCAAAGTGAAGATAGTTAACAAATGTGGTGGTAAAATGTTCTAGGCAAATATTTTTTGATGCAAATAGTGAATTGTCAATGGAGGCTGTGTTTTGAATCTGTCAAAGGGAAGCAAGCATATGATACTACATGAAATACTATGTTTAGTCCAGTAGTGTAATAAGTGGCAGGTGACTGGGTGAGTGATCACTTTCTAAGAGTGGCAGCCATCACCATTGCTGTTGACTCAGCTGCTGCAGATCTAACTGTTCCACCTCTGCTTGAGTCTACTATAGAACTACTCAGGTGCAAGTTACTGTGAACTTGATTCTATGGATTGTACCTACTAAATTTATTTGCCAGATTTGAGGCCTGCTATTTACCTATAGCATGTCCAAAGTAGCATATATGGTGCGAGTCATGGGGCAGGTGCCCATAGAACTCCATATAAATTAATCCCACATCCTGTTGCACACCACATAGTCATCCAAGTCTCCAGAAGAACAAAGTCTAGTGGATATGTCAGCGATATGACCACTGTGCAGATCCAATGGGCTGAAACCACACCTTAGAGAGAGAAAAGTGATAGGCACCCATAACTCCTTGCTGTAGCTTGTCTTAGTGTCTGGAAACAATTGCAATGACCTCTAAGATGGTAATTTGTGGGAATGCATCCTTTACTGCAGAAGGAAATAAGAGTTTAATTTTCTTTGATGTGGGTTTTGCTTTTCCAGAGTTTTTGACCAGAAGTGCACCTAAAGTATACATGAAAAATAAATGGTACAATTAAATGGTATTTCTGGCTATTGCAAATTTGAACCTGAAACAATTACCCAGAACTTAGGGGAGGTATTCTGAGTGGAAGATGATTTCATAACAGCATCTGCATCCATTTTAAAAAATATTTTATAGGTCTATTATACATAATGAATCCCAGAATATGTAACTGAATCATCACAGTACAGGAAGATACATTCCTTGGTTTCAAATGGTTTCATAAATATGGAGGTAAACATGGGACCACAAACCAGAGACTCCTGAAATCTGAACTTGGCTCTGCTATTGCCTCACTTTTATGAGATTGGAGCTAGTCACTTAAATCTTATTCCCCTTTTCCCATTTGAATAATGAAATTATTAATACTTGTGCATCTTAACTAGGTGGGTTGAGAACCTACCTATTTATTTAAGCAGTGTGTTAGAGCTGCTGGGAATGGATCAGTTTTTGAAAATCTGGGCACTTCATGTGGGCTTGTCTAAAAAGTTAGGCAAATAAGATGTATGCAATCCTTAAGAATATGAAACACCCCTTTATGTTGTCCTTTCAGTATTATGTGTATCAGGGCTGTCTAGTATCTTGAATGGCTTGGTGCCACACACCATATTGCTGTGAGTGGGTGCCCCTTTGCTGTGCCATACTAGGTCCCCAAGTGCCCTGAGTGCCCCAGTTGCAGGTTGCTTCAGCCCTGCAGGCTACACCACTCTGTCCCAAGGGCAGACATAGGAAGTTGAAACTAGAGGAGGGACAGGGAGC